GTTGCCCACACCCATCGTCTAACCCCAGCCAACCATGTCGACATTTCGCTGTATTGGCGCTGGCGGCTCCATTTCCGTCGACTCTTCCACTTTGGGCCGGTGACAAACGTGCCCAGTTTTGTCGTCAACATTCACCTGGACAGAGGCCGTGGATGGAGGCATCGCGAAACATGAGACGAGGAGGAAACTCGCCCGCAGCGAATGCCCCGTAATCACCCCTCTCGTTTGGGCCACGTCGGCCCACACAACTGGTGGAAGCTCGCCGAAACATGTCGTCGGCATGCCCTTCTTCGATCGTGCAACCGAGCTCTTCCCTTTGTCACCGCGGGGATGGGGACCGTGCTGGACCGGACTTGATGGAAGTCCCACGTTTCGCGCTGCACCGAAAACCCAATTGCGTGTGACTTTTGCACCGCGTGATATCGACTTCATGTCGGATTGGTCGACGCGGTAGTAATGAAGCGGTATCCAACCGAGCACCCACCGGCGCCGCTGACCATCTATCTCACCCCCAGCCACCGCGGTTCGACATGAGGTTGCGTCGGCGGGGGTGCAGCCGAACATTCCCACTTTTGAACCGACACACGCCATGACGTCTTCGTTGCCACCGCTCCTGAAACAAGACCGAGACCGCATCGCGACGATGGCCCTGGCCGCTGGTCACGAGCTGGTACTCCATCTACTCGAGAAGAATCTCCATTCACTTCGTGCCTTCTTTGCCGACGCAACGATAGATCCGATACAGCCACGTGCGCAGCTCGAACGAGTGCGTCGAGTGGACGCCTCTCCGTCGACACGGCGACGTTGACCTGTACCAAGGCGCGACGTCGCCGCAGAAACGAGTGCCGACCATCGGGCTCTTTTGCGGGGTCACCCACGTGTACGCGTCCCTGGACGAAGTGATTGCCCTCAACAACAACCACGCGCCAATTGACAAATCCAACCACTTTAGCCTCGTCGTGGTGCCCTTGTACACGATTGCTCCCGAGCTGCCACCGACCCCGTCGCCCGTCGAAGGGCTGTCGATAGAGCGTCTTGTTGTGCAGTACGTTCGATTCAACAGCATCCTGAAGCATGTCATCCGTCGACGAGATAGCTTCGTCCTTGAGGTACATCCCCACCGTGGTCGAGTCATGCCTCATCTCATGGTTTCCTGCGCCCAGTGCGACATTGCATTCGACGCAGGAGGTGGCAAGCGAGGCTGGCTGCGTGTAAACAAGTCCCTGGAGCTGCCCCAACTGCACAACTTTGACGGATGCATGTGCTCAAACGTGCGGATGGACCTGAGGCCTTCGGGCCACGTGTACACAGAGTGTGGGAGTTCATTCCCGCGAATGCCAGGGACGACGCTCCGCGTTACGACCATGCACCACTGCGATTTTGGAGGACATGTCCCTGAATGGGTCGTCGCGTCGGCGCTGAAGCAGCGGTGCCGCGACCACGTCGGGCGATTGGATCGGTATCTTCGCGAGGCGCGGCTCAGTCACGGGCCGTGGGTTCAGGTCGAGCACTGTGTCCCAATGCATTCCAAGCGAGCATGTTTTCGATGCCACAAAAAATTTGGCCTCGTTACCAACACGCGTGCCCACTGTCGGAAATGCGGACAGGTTTGGCAGCGCCTGTATATGCTTTTCTCATATTCGCGCGCAGGTCGTGTGTTCGAACTGCATCCGCACATGGACTGTGCAGGTTCACGGAGCCACGCAGGCGATGCCAGCATGCTCTGTGTGCTCTGTCCGGTCGCAGTCGGCCGTTTGCACAACCAGTCCAGCGTGCACCATGGAATATACCGATTCCTACGCGAATCGAAGCATATCCAGCTACAGCCGCACCGACACCTTTTGCTCCAACAAGGTCGGCACCCCCATGGAGAGCTGCCTCTGCTTTGATATTTGCACGCCGTCCTGAAAAGACCAGTGTAACATGGCTGCCGTTGGGAATTGCGCAAGCTGGCGTGCACGAGATATGCGCCGAAATAGATGTTCCGTCTGTGTGGAAACTCGGGTGCTGAAATATCAAATATCAGCAAATTGTCCATTTTGACGATTCTACGTTTTATTGTTAAACGTCTTGAGAATTGAGATTTACAGTGAGCGAAAGCATCCACCCGTCTTACGGATATTTATCCGAAACCAATCGCAAATGACAGGTTGTTCAAAAGTCACATTCCCGCAAGGTTATTTTCAAAAAGACGCATGAGGATCAAGGTTAAACCCAAAGATTTTACGCCAAATCTCCGCTTAATTACCTGCAACTAGGTAAAATGGGGACAATATCCGGATACATGTGCACTTTATGTACGGATACCCACAATATATTGGCCAGTCGTCATGTCTAGCCTCCATACAAATGCACGAGGCTGGGATTTTGGTTTGGCAACGCGATCAATACTTTACCAATCGATCATTCGAGCTGTACCTTGTGTTCGACGTATCTCCTGGTCCATTGGCATTGCGGTTTCTCTTCCTGAAAAATGTTCAAAGTTGAAATTCGTGAACACACACACACTACGACACAACATATTACACATTGTACCGTCCGTATTTTAATCCTTTTCGAATTGTTGACCCAATTATATAAACCCACCAGTTCAGTTAAACAGGAAAAATGTGGTCAACATGTCGTGGTATGAATTTGCGTCCACAAGCACGACTCCCGACGCTTCATTGCCAAAGTGCTCGGTCCCGCCGCCCACGTGCCCATCCGTGAGACGGCAAAACACTGTAAAAGTGCTTGTGTATTGTTGTACGTTCGGCTTGTGCAAAAAGTCGCTCCAAGTGCGCGTTTTCATGACGTATCATAATCCGATGAGGTTTCGCGATCGACAGGGCAATCGACCCTGCATTCTGATGGTCGCCGTGAATACTGGCCTTGTCAAAACATTGTGATAAGCTCAAACGGATTCGAGTCCATGAGCTGGACAACCTCCGTTTACGATGGAATAAAATTGCTCCATCGTGATAACACGCTCACAATGCCGTTCCTCGGATGCACCAGGACTTTATTGCGACGACACGGCATTTCTCACAGCAAGATCATTACATGTGAGTCGTTTGCTGGGTGTGCTTCTGGTCAGTGTCGATATCACGCATGCCGTTCCCAAGGCGCAACATACTCGCCAATGCGGACGTAGACTTCGACGACCTCGCAAAGACCTGATCATCGTGGACGCCCCGTCCCCCTTCGAGTCCCCTCAAATCCCTCGTTCTCCACAGAGCACGAGAGCACGCCTTCTCTCGCGCACACTATAAACACGTGAGCACAAGACGCCCCAGCACAAAGACGTTGCACCATTCACATTCACAGTTTCAAAAGATAACCTTGCTCGATCCTTTTCAATAGCAGGTGCAGGTCGTGCAGTTCATGATCGCCCGTCAAAGTATGGCCGGCAAGCTCGCGACTGTGGCCGTAGTCCAAGAAATTCGGTCGACCGCATGGCCCACGACGTCGTTGTGAAATTGACCGTGAAATCGGGTATTTTTTCAAATCCAGACGTGTCGTTCGGGAAAATAAAATATTTGATTGGCTTAAATTATTTCGGTTATATTCGGATTGGTGCGCAGACGCGCACGAGGTCGGCAAGAAAATGTGTGAAAAAAACCACTTCTGCGGGCCGATCTCCAAGGGACCCCTCGCTCACCCCGTCATAAAACTGCAAAATGCACGCACGCACGTGGGAAATCTGCGAACACACTGCATTCTTTCATTTCCGAGCCATGTGCCAAGCTCCCAACCACATCAAACTGCCCCAAGAGCCGCACATGGCCCTGCAATACCACCACCGCCGCCAGCGCCGGCTAGCCCAGATTTTGCGCATCTTGCGCGGCACGACATCGCAACCAACGTCCAGTGCATGCTCGCTCAACAAATTGGCCTACGTCGCGCTCTCGATCAAGCTCGAGCGACTCATTTACAGAGTTCTGCCGGCCAACACTGGAATTCTGTCGGACGAACTGCTTGAGCTCCATATGCGCCGAGTGATCCATCGCATTCTCGCCGTCAAGAAAGCGAAGGCTGCCGCGTCCACGGATATCAAGCCTACGGACGCAACTGTCCTCGTTGCGCTCTGACCCGACGCGTCGTCTTTATAACTTATTGCATCCTGGTTCATCGTAAAAAATATTCAATGGAAGTGTGTCTTCGTCAAAAGAAGTGGGCTCCTAGTGTCGAGCGGAGAGATTTGACCAAACCCACGACCACGAAGCCTTCCAAATCGTTCCTCGAGCTGCACGGGACAGTCCGTCCTGGTTGAGGGCAATTATCGGTCAGCCTCCACCGGCCAACATGTCGGCTGGCCAGAACCCACAGCCACGCCGTCCGACACATTACATCCTCCACCGATACACCACAAACTGCATGGCATGTCCTGCGTACAGCAGTAGTCCCATTCGCCCGACTTTTGGGTGCATCGCGTCCGTGGAGTTTCGGTTGTATTACGTGATGGGCTTACCTACTCCTTGGGCCACATAAAGTGGTCGGAACAGAAACTCACGTGTGGCGAATCTGTCTTAACATCGTTGACCATGCCGATTTAAGTGCGAATTCAACCCCCCCACAGCCATTGTCGAGTGATCAAGCGGCCGCCACATGCTCTCTGGATCTTGGCAAGTCGTGGCGCAGTCCAACTGTAGGTTGAGGATGGCACCGTGGAGGGAATCCTGGTCGCGCTCGATTCTCGAACAGCCCAACCACGGCAGACCCCACGCGCCGTACGTTTGATGCTAGTCCCGGGGCTGCATTGCAGATCTCCCATCTCCTAGTTCATGAACTTGGTGCACGTTTTGTCTGTCCCTCATGCTTGGCAAGCGACAGTTGGACTGTTGCAATTGGGGAATTTCCGTCGCTGATCCCACGGGGACGCCGTCAAAGTAATCCCGTTCATCATGATTGCCTGACCGCCGCCCAGTCGCCACATTCTCCAGCTAACGCGAGCTGGCTCAGTTTCATGGTGACGCAATTCAATCAACTACTCCCCGAACATCCCCATCGGGGCCCACCAAACTCCTCCACGTTATAAGCGTTTGCTTCTTTGTTTTCTGGCGGTCGTCCCTTTTACGTGACCTGCAACAGGACAGGAAGACGGGGCGATTTTCGCCCCAAATGCGCGGCCGACGCTGGTGAAATATCCGACTATCCTCTCCACCATTCCGCCAACGTTTGGTTGTTGAAGCCAAATGTAGCGAACGGGTTACTCGGTTTCGCTGACCATGGCGTGCGATCGGTATCCCATCGTCGTTCGCCATCAACGCCAGCGACACACCGTGCCAGGTCGGAACGACCCCTGCAATTGCCGCCGCCGCTGCCACCCCCACCCACACTTCCCCCCACCCATCCATTCGTTTTGACGTGGCTGCCTCTGCGTGCGCTTGCAGAGTTGGTCCCTTCTTTGACGAGTCACGCAGCCAAGGAAAACGTGAGTCAGTGCGTGCGGCGATCCACGGCGGGGGGGGGTGGGGCTCCGAAAAACCTGTCAAGCCTAGACGAGCCAATCCACTCATGCACGGGCCCTCGTGCCACCAAAAGTGTGAAGGGCTGCCTGACTTGTCTGGGCCGATGGACACATTGAACGCCGTACTCCACCAGCGCATTTGTCCACGTGCGTTGCAAAGCTTGCTGTACCATCTTGTCTGGGTGATGTTTGTGATGTTTCTGCCTGTCTACACTACTGATTCATCCATGGAGCAACTGCAAAGCGCACCAGTTCGCAATGGACATGTCATGCTGTGTTGTGCGATGGCTGCTCCGGTCAATGGAGAGTTTCGTCAGCACGGACCTATATTCGTGGGAAACAAGTGCGCAAGACGTGGTTTCAGTGATTTGCAACTTTGGTTGGATTAAATACGACTCATGCACACACAGACAGGGACGTGTTTGGCTTCACGAGAGCATCGACGCAATCGTGAACGTTCGTCGCGGCGACGGCGGCGGAGTTACGTATGGGGCAGCAAGCACTTTGGTCACGACGTGGTGTAGTCGCCGGGCGAGGGCAGCCGAGGACAGGACAACGTTCGCATCGTTGGGGAACTCCTTGTTCAAGATGCCTTCGATGTGGAGCGCGAGAGTGATGAACGCTTTCCCGTTGGAAAACTGGAACTGTTTCCTGTACGTGTGCTGGATTTGGCGCATGATTTGGTCTGTGCGCTTGGTGTGCTTGAGTGGCTTCATGGGCAGGCAAGCCACAGCTTGTTGGAGCGGCGTTGGAGAAGTGACCATGGTGACAACGAGTGGTCGGGGCCGAGAAAATGGGAAAATGGCGTGTCGAATCGCACCTTCAGTCGGTCGTGCGTGTTTATGGGAACACAACCAGTACAAGAATGGGATTCTGTCTGAACTTGAATAGTCGCCCAACAGCACCGATCTCGAGAGCCATGGCAACTCGGGGCAAAAATATGTTGTGCAAAAGATAAGCCCGGCTTTATGGCCGTGCCGCGTCGACCTCCCCAATCGCCGCGCTAGGTCGTATCCATCGAGAATGGCCAGGAGGGAGGGCTGGCTGGGCCATCCGGGTCACCTAAGCTCTTTTCTCGTGCTTACGAGGGTTTACGGGAGCAGATAGCGGGACACCGACCCTGGATTGCGGTCACCCTTGCCGCGCGATTACGCAGTTGCATAAAATCGCCACTATGTTGACCGCGCCCGACGCTTTCGTGGACGGACTCGACGGATTTGCGTCGCAACAAGCACCGAAACTGCTGGGGCACGGTGGCGACGGCGCTGCACAGCGCAGCGCGGGTGCCACACGCGTCCACCGTGCGTGCACTGCGGTGGATGCGGCGAACGAAGCCAATCACGTCAACAGCAACCTGGTCGACGTGATCGGTCGGATGGACCGTTGCTACAAAAACATGGACACGCTAGCTGGCCCGAAATCTGTTTCGTTGAAGGGCCAGCTAAGTGCGGCCATAGATATCGGACAGTTTGATTGTTCTCGAGCGATTCGTGAATTCGCGTATGTCGGTGGGGGCCGACGAGACCTCTCCTTCAAAGGGCACGCACGACCATTGGCTTCATGTCTTGCACATATCGACCGTGCTGGCATGTGGGACCAAGACCATTCCATCCCCTCCCCCGACAGTAATGACACCAGCACCTGTAAACGGATGCGTGTGTTTGGTTTTCGATGTTGTTTTCGACAAAGCCAGGAGCGTAGTGCGTGGCGGTGCTGTTGCAACGCACGCAGCGCGACATGTCCAACCGAGTCGAACTTAACCAAACTCGACATCTCCTATGGAAGCGAAAATCTGGGTCTGAGATTCCGACAGCGTCGGCCGTTCAAGTAGCCGACAGGCAGCACACACGACAGAGACAAACGAGGAAGGCGCCGCGCGCAGGTCCTTCCGACTGCTTGACGGCTGCTGCACAAGATTCCAATTTGGGTTGGGCAGTCCATGTCTGGCCCATGCGTCGTGCTGTTGTTGTCCCTGGCAAGTGCGTACCTACCTTTTCGCCGCGACTATGCACATGGGTCGCCATCATAGATACATAAATGTATCGTGACCGGTACAACTCTCGCCGCCCAAGTTGGTGTACAATTTTATGCATTTCTGGAGGGTTCATGTAATCACTTTACCACGCTTGGATGGGCCAAACCTCTACAAATCAATTCGACCAACGCGACTCCGACATAAAGGTATAGAAACTATAAAGACATGAAGGGCATTCATTTGAAGTCGTCGACCCGAACCCGTCATCCATGGCCGCTGGAGCATTCTCGACGGGAAGCGCATTCGCCCGCGGCCGCGAGATATGTGGGCAAAGACGGTGAAATGCCCTCACCCGACAATCTAAACCGGGCACAGATAGCACTGGCACAACGGCGGCGGGTTTCTTCGGCGCGCATTTATGCGCTCAAACATCTCGTGCTTTTGTGATCCAAAGTGCTAAGTGCACCAAACGGCGTGGAGGGTCATGGAACGGAGGTGGCCTCGCTCTCTCTCTCTTCATTCAACTAGACACGGCGGTGTGTGTTCGTGTGGAGGTGGGTGGGCGTCGAGCAGGCAGGCGAGCTCACACCCGCTGAGATCTGTAACACGGTGATGCGTAGTATTATAGGAGTGGATGGTCGGATAAAAGGCACACCGTCGCAACCAGGGTGGGTGCATAAGCCAGCGACCGAAACCTTATTTATGGCAAAGTGTAGTAGAACGAACAGAGGTCCTGGCCACTATCTTGCCAGGCCATATCCCTCACATTTCAATTTCCACATGAACAACCAACCCAGAACGAGACCCCACCTCCCCCATCTCCAAGTCGCCCTGCATCAGCAACGACGACACCTCCGCATGACGCAGATCCTTCGAATGCTGCAGCGGGGGCCGCAGAGCCACCTGTGGTCCCAAATGACCGCGCTCGAAGTAGCGGCCTTGGCTATCAAACTCGAAAGACTCGTATACCGCGGCTTCCCCGACAGCGTGGGGATCATGCCCGACGATGCCCTCGAATTGCGGATGCGGCGGGTCATCAACCTCATCTTGAACGCGACCAAACGAACATCCAAAGGTTCGCCCCCCGCTGGGTCGAAACCACCGACCATTGTGGCAACTTAGTTCGTGGCGACTCGCCTCTATTTATCGGTCTTGGCTGTAAGCCACTTGACTCAACTCGATTCAACATTTCTTCTTTGCGGTATCCGAGAGCACACAAAGCCTGTGTCGAAATATTGCGCGCATTTGCTGTCGCATACATCGACGCCAACATGCGCAGGGAGCTAAAACGAGCCGTTGAATCGTGTGGCCAAGTGAGTCATGCGCTCGCAATGAGGTAATCCGCCGAGGTCACGGAGAGTGGAGGAAACGGAAGGAGCGATGCATGTGTAGTTGCCAGCGCCGGAACAGCGGGGCGAGGATACACTCGTATCGACGGCATGCGAGGTGTGCGAAGCCAATAACATTATAACGTTATGTGTTGTTTGGACGTTCTATTCGGACACACTCGGGCGGCGCTGGGCGCTCGACGACCATTTGGTTCCCAGAATGCACTTGATCACATGACGTAGTCGCAGCTCCATCGTTTCGTCGTTTCGAAGGATCGTCTTTTCAGGAAAGGATCTGGTCAGGACGCGTTCAAGTTTGGCGGCAGTGGCGGCCAACGACAAATTGGTGAGCGACTCGACCGGGAACGCTCCGTTTGCGCGTAGCAGCCTCATGATTTGAATAGTCCGGTGGTGCCGGAGGCTGCGGAGACTCACATGGCGAGGGGGAACCAGTTCAACCCGTTGAGCGCACATTGACAATTGCGAATCGTCGCGGGCCTTCTTCATAGTTGTGGCAGAGACACGGCTGCCTTTTCCGATCGTGTCTCTGCTCCTCGGCGACCCTTGATGCCGAACTTCGAAGTTGACGAGATCTTTGGTCTGGCGGAGACACAAACCACCGCTGGTGAACACAGGGGGTGTACGCAGGGGCTAGGCGCCACAGCTTGTACAATTCAGCGTCGTGGCTCTCTTCGCCCGGAAGCGTCGGGCTGTCCATTGTATTGTTGCGGCACACCGTCGCCATGCCATCAAATGAGGATGGCTCCATTCTTGGA